TATTTTTTTAGTCATGAACCCCACTATCATTTACTTTCCTTTAAAACTTTATACATCATATGGGCTCCATTTGCTTTTAAAAATAAAAAAAATAAAAAAAAGACATTTGGCGTTTCGGGTGAAGTTAATTTTTTTCTTCAAAGTGTCAAATTGCCACATAAACCATCAAATTCAAATTTAACATCTCCTTTGAAGTTGCTCTTAAATGCAAAATTTTGACATAATGTTTTATGATTTTTATCTGAATTTGAACCCAACCTTCTACCAAAAATATGAGGCCTAGGATTCTAGAATTTGCAAAATCACTGAAAACCTGGCTTCAATTATTACACCAGGGGTTAGATTTCCTTGATCAGCTCTTTGCCTTTTCTATAGGTCTATTTGCATTTTCTTTCCTCCTCTCTACGTCTGGCCCTGGTTTCATGTTCTGCAATTTTACTACTTTGAGAAAAATTAAATCAATCATTTATTATTTATACTTTATATTTTATTATTATTTATTATTTCATACAAAGGACCTCACCAGTCATGAAAATCTCAAAATTGTACAAAATATAATTTATAACTCTATCATTGAATAGCACGTATATGTGGGGTTGAGTTTCACTTGTCTTTGACGCTGTCTTTGTTGTCAAACTTAAGAAAAATTCCAAGAAGAACAATCTTTGTTGGAAAATACTTACCTCCTTATAAGGTAAGTAGAAGTTCCTACATTCCTGTCAGTAACATTGTGACATGTGTGCAGAAGTTTTTGTTTTTGTATTTTTGATGAATTATTTTTGCATATGTGTCAAACTGTGATTCACAGAAAGGAGGAGTATCTCCTTATCGTTAAGTAGCATCCATCTTTGTTGGCCTTTTATGCAATGTGATCTTTGTGTTAATTAAGAAAAATTCTTAAAGATTTGGTCTAGCTTTTTAAGGAAATATTTTATTTTTCTTTTGAGGTAATGCGGGCGAGTACTCTATGTTTTTTTTTGTCCATGTTGTTGCTTAAATATGAAATTAGTTTCGCCAATAGGGTATAACTCAGTAGAAAAGAGTATTGACTTGCATATTAGTAGATTTGAAAAGGGATTAAACTTCTATTTTAATTTATACTATGAAAAAAGTTTTGAATTCTTTTTAGAAATTTGTTATGATTGTAGAAAGGTCAATATCAAAGAGACCCAATTTTAATTTTGTAAAAGCCCACTATTATTTTGTAAAGAGGCCCAAACAATTTTTATTTTGAAAAGACATGCTTTATTGTATTGTACCCATCATTTTCACAAGTCAAAGTAAATTGAGTGTTTCTAGTTCATTCAACCCAACATTTCTCTTTTTTACCTCAATATTTCTCTTATTATTCCTTGGAAAAGAAATTAAAGTGAAGTTTTAGTGGTGATGAGAGAGTGCGTGTTCCTTTAGAGATTGTGAAAAAATGACATGATTTGATTGGTCATTCTTACCACGCATTATGGTGAGGTGGCAGGAGATCTCCATTTCGTGGGAGTATATATAAAATAGAACATTATTATATAGAGGCTTCCAAGAAGGATGTGCGTATTATAATGAAATTAAGGCTTAATCGTAGTAATGGTCTCTGAATTATACCGTAGTTACATTTTCATACCTCAGTTCTAAAAATAATTGTAGAGGTCCAAGGGAGGAGAAGCAATCAAGTTGTCTTTTTTTTTTCCTTTTCTTTATTTAGTTTTAGTTTTATTTAATTATTTTTTGTTATTTCGTTTTTATAAATATTTGGAATGAATTTCCAAGTTTACCTATGGATTTAACGGAAAAATAGATAGACTTGATGAAAATGACCAGTAATGCAACACGATACATAATTGAGAGACCTCTGCAACTAATTTTGGAGTTGAGGGATGAAAATATAACTATGGATATAGTTTAGGGACCATTGCTACAATAAAGCCTTACATTAATGATATTTTATTTATGGGATATGATCTAATGATAATTTAGGTTTTTGTTTTTCAAATATTATTCATGCAAAAAATCAGATAAATCATAATTGCTTTAGCCATTTATTGTTCACATTTTTTATTTCAAATTTTATCTAACGAATTGGGTTTTTTTAACTAACCTTACAACTTCTGTTTTTTTTTTTTCAAAAATAACCTTAAAGAATGACCTAAAATATAAATGATTAAAATCGTTGAAATATATTGTGGAGGTAGCCTAGGAAGGATGTGTGCAATAAGAATATCCTTAACATAGAAAAACTACTTACATAGAACTAATAGATCTTTTTTATGACCCTTATTTTCCACAAAAAACTTCAGATAACAAAGTGAAACACGGACCGAAAGCATAATTTTTCAAAAAGTATCAAAACCATTCTATCCTTTCTATTCATAGGAGGATTAATTATGCTATGCTAATCTCCCATTGAATTTATAATTCATATAAAAGAAAAATAAAGAGGGAAAAGATTTATGAAATAATATATTTACACTTTTCCAAGAGAATACATACAGACAATATAGCAATTTATATAATAAGCGATGAAAATCAAACAGGTTCTAAATGTTTTTTTAATACAAGCGATAGTCTAAACTATAAGCCGAGGGGGATTTCTCACATATACCACGGTGCCATGATGATTTGAACTTAAGATCATTAATCTACAAGTTAATGCTCTTTTCATTGAATTAGACCCCATTGGCAATAGTTCCTAACCTTTTGAACAAGTTCAAACTGAATACATACAAGATCAAGCTAAACATCCATTAGCCCTAAATGCGTGGTGATTAAGTCAGATCACAATGGCCCTGCTTATTAAAAAAAATATATGAGTATGATCACTAGAATAATAAAATAAAATAAAAAGTAAAAAGGATGGTGGGCTCTTATCAGGACTTGCAGATTGATGAGACGCATGGTATATGGGGACAAAGCATATATTAGGATTGCAATCTTTCACAAAGAAATGGATCTTCCTGGCTTTAGAATCAATGCACAAATCTGGAAATTAGGAAGCCCCTTGTTTTGGACAGTCCTAATTCGAATACATTTTGGGAAAGAAAGAAAAGCCAAGCCAACAATTTCACATTTTTTGCTACTGTTTTTTTTTTTTTTCAGTTAGACAATTGTGCAAAGATCCCTAGCCCTCGATGAATATTTGAGTGCGTGAACTTATCAAATCTTTGTTCAGATCGAGGCATCAAACGACATACACACAAAACAAACGTATAGAGAAGCATAAGAATCTTTTTTTATCAAGTCATCGAAAGAAGCATAATCTACAAACCAAACCTATAGAGAAGTATAAGAACCTTTTATATCGTAAAATAAAACCCTTGTAGGATTGCGGACCAAAATAATATTTACTTAAATGTTGTATACATGTATGCAAAAATAGTTACCGGCCATATTTCAACAATCCCAACCTTTGAATGGTGATGAATACAAGGTATGAAAAGGATGAGTCGGATTGTTTTTGGAGTAAATACGATTTGGTATGACTTTAAACGAAAGTGACAATAAGAATGAAAGGGAGACATTGAAAAAAATCTTGAGGACTATAGAATTCAAAAAACTAACTTATTAGGTATACTACCGTGAAAATTGAGCAGTAATCTGGGGACTATTGCTACAATTTAGTTTTGAATTCTTTTTAAAAATTTGGAACTCACAATTTCACGAAAAAAAAAACTTCAATGTCACGGATTCATACCCCTTCTTTCTCTAGCTAAGTTTTCCTCCAATTTCATACAATACGTCGTTTCCATAAAGCTCCTAAGCATGACCTATTCTTTATTTTCAGTACTACGCAAAAATATAAACAATTACGAATGGATATATTTGTAATTTTCTTAATCCAAAAAAAAAGAAAAAAAAAAGGGTTGGTTGTAACTTGTAAACTATATGGTATGTGTGGCACTAATCACCAAGTAATATTAGTTAAACCCAAATGTTGTCAAAGGAAAAAACTTCAAATTAATATGAGGGACCCCATCTGCTTATTTGAATGGCATTTGGGATGGATCCAATCCAGCACCCAATAGGATAAAAACATGATGATGATGTACCCCTTCACTTACATGTTGGACAAAGTCCAGTGAAGAGACTCCATCAAATTCAATTGATAAGACTTCTCCTGGATACTTAGTGCAGGGGATGTAATTATTATTTTATCTTACTTTTGAAAGATGAAATACATATTGAATAATTAAATTGCTTCTGGAGTTGGCCTTTTGTGTTGAATGTGGATAATCTTTACATATATTAAATTGACTTTATCAATTATGATGATGGTGCACAGTAGCACCAAGGCCAACAATACCAAATAAAGTTTGGTAAATAGCCTTGGTCTTCGTTCTTTGAAAGAGTCTTGACTCAGTGAAAAAGCGTCTAACTTAACGGAGAACTTAGTGAAAAAGCGTCTTAACTTACAGATCAATTGTCTCAGTTTGAACTTTTATGAAATCTTTTGTAATGTGTAGGTGATAAACCCCCCTCCCACTTGTAATTTTAGACTATCACTTGTATTCAAAAAAGAAATATAGTACTTTGCCAGTAAGGGAAAAATAATAATCTTCGACATTATTAACTGGAGGTCTCTATTAACTGTGAGCTTAGCAGAAGGTGGTCGACAAAATATGTATAACAGAGCCTTGGAGCTTTCATAGTGGTGGACAAAATATGTATACGAATAATTTTTGGTTTGTTACGCCATCTCCAGTAATGGAGAGCTAAACATAGTCCACCCACAAAATATAACTCACTATTTATAGTTTTTTAAGAAATAGTAATGGGCAATATTTTTATCGTCTCCAACAGTAGAGGGCTAAATCGTAGCTCTCTTAATATTTTATTAATTTGTAATATATTCTTTAAATATATTGGTTAATTTAATTAACAAATAAACATCAACCCAAAAACAATAACTAAAACATTAATCTAAAAACAACAACTAAAACATTAATTTAAAAACAAGAACAATACATTAATTTATAATAAAAAAAACAAAAAAAAACAAAAAAAGGATGAAAAGGAAGCATGAAAAGAACGTAGAAAATTAAATTAAATTTAGGATTTTTTGGAAGAACAAAAAAGCTAGAGCTTGTTGGAGATAGCTTCTATGGTAAGGGCTTTATTTATGGCCCTTAGGTATGATCCTATCTTTTAACTGTTGAATCAGGCTAACTAATTTGATCCAACGATTAAGAGATAGGGCCTCATCTAAGGCCATATATAAGGCCCTCTCACTATAGAATTCTTGTACGTTGGGCATGAGCATATGTGTAGTGGGTCTTGGAAGAAAACACCAAGGCTCTGTTTTGTCTATAAAGCTGCAAACTCCAGCAGAGCCCGTTTCCCTGTTGGTTCAACGCAGCTCACCAACCCCTGCCTTAGTTGACTTTTGTCCTTTCAAAATGAAGGTTGAGTAGAAAACATGTGAGCCCAAATAGAAAGAAGAAAATGGACAATGTACTGGAACCACAGCTTACATTCACCCAAACCAAGGTAAATTCCTTTGTTTTTTGTTTTTTTTTGGACAGAATGATACTTCATTAAAAGACCCAAAGCACAGGTCAAGCAGAAAATACAGAAGCAACAATAAACAGGAAGATTACAAAACACCCTCAGCTTAGTGGAATAAGAAGCAACTCTTCCAAACAAACAAATTACAAAACAGGCAAATTCCTTCATTCATTTATAGTTATGTCAACAATGCACATCGTTAGGGCCAACACAAAGACAAGGCAAGGTAAGGTAAGATAAGTGCTCGTAAAATGTGGCGGGGCGAAGTAAACAATCAAATACTTCATAGCCAAGTCAATGCAGTAGAACTTGTAGTACACTAAAGGCGAAGTAAACAATCAAATACTTCATAGCCAATTCAATGCAGTAGAACTTGTAGTACACTAAGCACTTCTTTTTATATTCATATCAAAGCACGGTTAATGAAACAGCCAAAACTGATAATGCTCTTACAGGAATAATCCTAAAGCTACATTATTACTTATTAAAAAATCATCTCACCTAAGCTTTCATGGGGGCGGTGGCAGATGTTGGGTCTTGGGTCTTGAGTCTTGGTTCTTCTGGTTTGTTTCCAAATTTTGTGCTGCTGCTGTTTTCTCCGCTTCAGCTTTCTCAAGCAAAGCCTGTTGATGCATGGCTTTCATCATCTCCTTCATTGTCCTCTCCTCTCCTTCAAGTTGTGTTTTCATTATCATCTCAGCCTCTTTGTCAATCGGCTTGAAGTACTCGTCAATAGCAGCTTCCTTCATGTAAAGAAACTTTGATACATTAGTAAACACAAAGACATAAAAATAAATTAAATTGACACAACACAACAATTCATATTGCAGCCATTAGTCTGATTAAACTAAACAGTAAGGGCAATATGGGGCACTTTTATTTTTTTTGGTACCGTGTGATATTTCTGTGAATATTCATTCATTTGTTTGACACTTGTTATTCTTGGTGTTAGAAATTTTCAGCAGGTTTAATTCTTTCCTTGTAGAAAGGTGGTAAAAATGCCAGATAGATGCAGTTGGCTGGTTGAGTAATCCTCAAATTTGAAAATGGATATGTGTCGTTATCATGAGAGAGAGAGAGAGAGAGAGAGAGAGAGAGAGCATATATCCCAAAACTCCCACTTATGCTAATTTGAATCACAGTAAGTAAAATTTTTGAAGTTCTACTTATTGAGCACCACAATAAAACTCACCGTTTCTTCCAGCTTCCTATTTAAAGTTTTCATCTCCTCAACCATACGACGAACCTCCGACAAAATTGTTTGCTCAGGGATCTTTCTTATGGCTAACTTCCGCTCATTTGCCTGGAGAGAGAGAGAGAGAGAGAGAGAGAGAGAGAGAGACAATCACTTTTAATAAAGGAAATGGGAAAAAGAAACCAGTACTCAAAGTATTAAGGCAAGGAATACCACAGATCATGTGTAAATCCTGTTAACTATAGGTAGTGAATTGGTAAAACCGAATAAGATAAAAGCAACTTGCCAGAGAAATGAAGATACGAATCAAAGTCAGTATCCATTACCAGCTATTTCAAGCTTATCAATGTAAGACATCCAAATATAAGCTACTGCATGCTGCTTTTGCATCTATTGCATGTATTTGAAAGCTCAAAAAGAAAAGAAAAATCATTCTGTTGCTGAAAGTAATCAAGTTGCCTTTGAATAATTGATGAGACAAACACTTTCTTCAATTGCATTCCAACTTACTCAGAATCATTCAACATGAAAGAGTTGGATTTTCCTAGTTGGTGTACAGAATAGTGTTCCATTTGCTCCTCTATGATTAAAATCCCCCTCATTATGCTGTAACATTTTCTTACACCAAGACGCAGACAGTAGAGAAGGCAACTAGAGAGTTAAAAAAAGGAAGCAGGATCAATGAGTCAAGGGAGCAGTTTATACAATTAAACAAATTCTGATAGAAACATTTTGGGGTGAATTTTTCTTGTCTGTCTCTCACCCCATCCTTCTGATGGCAACATTGAGGACATACAAGCCCTTGGAGAAGTTCTCAGGGTTCGTGAAAGTACTTGAACAAGGCAAGCCTATGATGCGATTCCCATATGAAATAATGCCTATGCATTTTCACTTTCGTCATTAACCTCTACATTTAAGAGTTCTTTGACACCGCTAAAGTTAGTCTATCTTATTAAACACTGTCCAGAATAAGAAGCCAAGAACACTCCCTGCCGCGCCAACCCCCTTAAAAGCACTAATAGTAAACTAATACAAAAAAATGGTGGCACTATTTCAGAAAACAAAGAAGTTTAAATGAAGAAAACCACATCACGCATGCATTCCCATGATATAACAAGATAACAGCAGGTACATAAAAAATCTGGCATGTCACCATCTACACTTGTCCAACACAGTTTTGAACACGTACGAAATGCATCTGCAATAATTGTCTCAAGAAATGATCACTGTATTGGGTGCATCAAATATAGAACTGATCTAATAAGGACCTATGCTTAAGGCCTAAGGTAAGTACGTGACTGTCAGCCATTTACAGACGGCTGAGATGCATGCTCATTCCATTATCTGGTTGCCAAAAAAGAAAAATAAAAGATCAGGCAAATGCCCATTCTCCAAAATGATAAAACCAATTCCACTCCCTACCAACTTTCAACTCTTCCTGCTCTATCCTCTCACTCTCCACATTCCATTCTTATTTTAAGCGATCATCAACAATACTAAAAACAGAAGCGAACAATACGAACTTTAACTAAAATTTGCACAAAGATTAACATCGTCATTCATCTCAGGCTAACACTGTGTCCATCATTTCATGCCACTATTGAACAAAAACTGCATTTCTCCAAAAGCACCTAACTTTTGACTAACAAGAGCAACAAAATATTAAAACGATGAACTTTAAAAAGAGAAATAGGAAAAAGAAAAGGCTAACCTCTTTCAGACGCTTTTCAACCTCCAACCGAAACGATCGGATTCTCCGTTCTTCGTAGCCCGAAAGAACCCTCGCATAGAATAGAGCTTTCCTTCCAAATTCAATCAGCTTGTTCATTCTTTCTCACGTTCTCATCCACCTTGAAACGCTTCGATTTCAGCTAAAACGCTCCGTTTTCTACCAAATCAGATTAGAGTATTCTCAGCAGCCAACCGAGGATAAATTGAGAATTAGAAAAGTACTTTTCGAATCAGAGAAAACACAAAAACAGGCTTGGAAATTCAATTGGACAACTAGAACTTAAAACCCTGGAATTCCGATCCCTAAGAAGTAAGGAGTGTGTGCGAGAGTGAGTGTGGCGTGAAGTTTTCTTACCTCTACACGCGGGAACAATCAACAATGGCTTGCTTCGATGGCAATGTTGGCTGCTTGAGCCGGTTGGGGCTGGGATTGACAGTGAACCGAGTGGGGCTTTGTTTGGCCGTCTATGGAAAGATGTTCTGCTGTGGATTGTATCACGTATCAGCGTTATGCAGATCGGGGTTGGGTAGGCATGTATATCCAAACGACTCCTTTTAATTTTCGGGAGTTTTCATTTTAATAGATTGGTCATATTTTGAAGGCAAAACTTATTATAGTTTGTTTTTTTTCCAAATTATTCATTAGTTTACTAATCTATTAGTCTCTCCGCAAGTGATTTCATGCCTACAAATGGCTTTTTTAAAAAAAATTTAAATTTATTTTAGAATTAAAAAAAATAATATGTAGTTATGTTCAATAAAAATAAGATTAATTATATGAATTTTCTTTTAATTTTAATTTTTTTAATATGAAAAAGCTGTGAGAGGCTTTTAAAAATAATAATAATTTATTTTAGAATTAAAAAAGATAATAAGTAGTTGTGTTTTTATAAAAATAAAATCCTTGATTTGATTTTTCCTTTTAATTTTTATCATTTTCTATCTTTTGCTTATTTAATAATTATTCCCATTTTTACCTTTTATTAACAAATGATATTAACAAAAGACCCAATAATATAGTAATTGCTCTAATGTGATTTAGAGCAATTGCACTCCCCAGTCCAACTTAAGTAACCCAATGTAGCCCATCTCATTACAAAAAGTCCTCAAATAGAAATCAAAAACTAATGGTAGTCAATGAAATTTTGTAAGTTCTAATATTTAATAATTAAGTAAAGGTATATTCCCTCCATTTATATTGAAGATTATTTTATTGAGCTGTATCTTTTCTTTTGGGTCAGAATTTTATTGAGCTGTATATTACCATATCATTTGGTAAATAAGTTCCTAATCCCGTTGCATGAATTTCTTCTCCGGAAATGGGAGATAGCAAAAGTAAAAATAGGAAAAGAAAGCCAAGAAAATGTCATCCAAATTCCAAAACATGTTTTCAAAGTAACATATCAACAAGAACTAGACAACACTATCAGTCTACTACCACCTCCCACAAAAGAGTAGGGGGAATATATCTCAAAACAGTTTGTTTTAAAGGTCAGATATGGAAAACTCTATAGACAAAGTGATTTGATTTTTTTTGCATTGCATTCATTGCGTTGTTACTGGAGGAGAAGATGGATCAACCCTTTTCATCATTGGCCTGCAAATGCTCAATCCCTCCTCTTCTTCTTCTTCTCATTCTTCTCAAGTGAGTTCTTCAACTGCATAAAACAAAGAAAATTTAGCATCTCAGAAGCAACAGTCTAGTCTAATATATGATTACGAACAAGTCTGGTCTAATATATGATTACGAACAAGAAGTCCAGGCTAATAAAACACTTAGGAAAACTTACCATGATGATGAGTACGCGCACAAAAACAGCAATGAAGTCACTGAAAAGGGTCATGGCATGCTTCACATAGTCCAGGTCACCATTGTGTGCCTTCTCAATCATTTCTTGCGTGTCAACTACCATGTACCCCACGAAAATCAGAAGCCCGAAGTACAACTGCAATTCAATGAAACACAACAGCCTAAGTTAAAATGCAAATAGCTCCCCTCATTTCAGCTTTAACGAACCAGAGTAAAAGATGACATTGCCATTTTGTTTCTGTTACTAACTGATAAATAATTCCTCACCTCAAACTTATACATGGCTGCGGAACCCCCCAAGAACGAAGAAACAAAACGCACACAGAGGAGCAGGGAAACCAAGCCCCCCAGGTAAAGGTATTCTCTGCGCTTTGCCAACATGGCTGCTGCTGAGAAACAACCAAAGGCCAGAGCAGTTCCCCCAAATGCACTGATCAGGACACTGGCCCAAAGGGGAAAAAAAAAAAAAAAAAAGTCAGCATGCTGTTCAAGTCTAATTGGCCAAACAGAGAACACAATGCATTCCCTGGAGGGGAAAAGGAAGCAGTTATGAAACCTAAACATGTTATTGCAAATCACTTAAGGTATATAAATACATACACCGCACATGACGGGAAAAGAAGGAACTGCTGCAGTTGAAAGAGACCTAAGTTCCATAATTTATCGTGTAGTCTCATGTTTACTGAACTTGAAAGCTAACACTTAATAACAGGAATATGTACCTTGGATTAATCGCAATGGCCAGATCAATCAAAGGACCAAGAGTAGCTCCCTCAAGGAGACCAGCAGCCATAAGTAGAGAAACCCTCTTTTTCTGCTCAACAAAAACACAACAATTCAATACAGGAAAATACATTACAACAGCTGGGACAACACAACATACATATGGGTGCATAATCTAAAGAATGATCTTTCAATAAACTCTACCTCTTCATAATGAGGGGTGGCGAGTACCCAGATCATACATCCTAAGCAGCCAAGTAAAGTTACAAGGCCTCCAATGTTCCATAGGATATGCAGGTAAGCTCCAGCAGCTGAAGCGATGAGAGTACAGCATAAGGTGAGGTAGACCTGCAAAATTAAGAAATTAAACAGTAAATCAATCGTCACAGAACCCTTAGTTTGAACCCGGAAATCACATGAGCCAACCCACAACTACATCAATCGAGGTTCAACCAAGATTAAGCAAAAACATAACAAGAACAAACCACTCAACCAGAAAATTCAGCAAAGAAAGTTAAATTAAGAAAAAAGATATAGAAATTCACACTTCTTACTCTGTTATCCGAGTAGCCAATGAAATCAAAAAAGCCAAGAAAAGAGAGACGGGAGATAGAAACAAGAAAGACGAGAGAGAGGTGTTCTTTCTGATTTATCGTCCATCTCCTCCATCTCTTCTCCGTAAATTTTTTTAATTCCCCTCTTTCTTTAAATTAAAAAGGAAAAAAATTACAAACAGACTATGACAACATTCACTAATTGCAACAACACCACAACAGCATATGAATCTATCCATTTCTCTTCCTTTCTTTTGATTTTCTTTTTTTTAAACATCAAAATTCTCGGTAACCAAAACAAATGAAAATCCACTGAGAGTTTTAAGATACAGAGAATTGAACATAAACGAAGCCCTAAATATCAAAACCAATACATCCAGCACGATTTTTTTGGCAAAAAAATTATCATCAAGAAAAACGAAACGAAGGCGGACAAAAACCCGAGCAACTCTCACACCTTGCGAAATACGTTAATTACTCAGTCTAATACACAAAACGGGCAAGAAATTGATCAAAATGAACAAGATCATAAGCAAATTCTCTCTTCTTCCTAAATTTTCCCGGTAGCCAAACAAAGCCTAAAACGATAGTACAATTCACTTCCGAGGAATAGTGTTCGCGAAATACGTAAATTGCCGAGCATAATACACAAAACAGACAAGAAAATGATCAAAATGAACAAAATCAGAATCAAATTCTCTCTTCTTCCTAAATTTTCCCGCTAACCAAACAAAGCCTAAAACGAGAGTAAAATTCACTTCCGAGAAATAATGTTCGCGAAATACGTAAATTGCCGAGTAGAATACACAAAACAGACAAGAAAATGATCAAAATGAACAAAATCTTAATAAAATTCTCTATTCATCCTAAATTTTCCCGGTAACCAAACAAAGCCTAAAACGAGAGTGAAATTCACTTCCGAGAACGAGCGTTTACCAGCTTGAGATGATTCTGAACAACAGGAGAGATCTGACGGAAGTTCTTGAGAGACTCGAAGTTCCAGCGGTTTCTTGAAGACGTTTGGGAATCGAAGAATGATGTGAACGCGTCCATATTGCTTCGTTACAAGAAAATGCGAGAGAATTTGCTGAGAAACTGAAAACTGAAAAGGGGTTGTGAGGTGGGATCTGGAATTTATAGGGGCCGAAGGTCTTCGGTTTCGTGGAAACTTCTAGCTGTTTTATGATTTTTTTTTTTTTTTGGGGTCAAGAAGCTGTTTTGTGATTTTATTACCGAAATGAGACTAATTAATGGAGAATGGACTCATTTACCTTTTTACCCTTGTGGTATTGTGATGAGATCCAGAAACTTTTGCCCCGGAGTCGGATCCGAAAACTTGGCGACTCTTTGCAATGTAGTTTTTTTTTCCTTAATTTTAATTTTAACTTTAAAATAAAGAATTAAAGAGATATTAATTTGTGTTTAATTTCTCAATCCATACACTTAAATATGATTTTTTCTTTTAAGGAAGTCTCGACGGTATATGGGAGAACTTTATTAATCAATAACTAACAAAATAAAGGAGAGGACTTAAAGCCTGACTCCTATTATAAGCATCTAAGAAAAGTGCATATAGTATAATATCTGATGATTCCTCAAATCACTCTACTTATACTTGATACGATTTATAATCATAATTTATTTGTATTAGTATTATGCACAAAATTTGAGTTTAAATGATGTAGCATGTGCACATCATGAATATTTAATAAATCAATTTTTAGTTTGGATTATGATTATTTAATTTATTTATTTTAGGAGAAAAATAAAATAAAAAACTTTGCAGCTTTAGTTTTCATAAAATAAAAACCTCGCAACTAGCTCTAAACTGTCAAACTTATCGTCATCCAATCATATTTTTTATTTATAACATTATGTGTTTACGTTAATGATCATTACTATGCAGAGATCAAAATGTGTCAATAACACTTCATCCAAGCACCATATAACAATTTTTTTCTTATAAAAACATAAAATAATATCATGTTAACATCACCTTAATTTTGCATTTTCCTAACGTTTTCATTGCACATATCTTATTGATTACATTATATTATATAAAATTTGTGTTCTTTTATGACTTTAAGAAATGGAATAAAGTATATACTTTTCTTTTTGTTTTCAAGTAATAAAGATGGGGAATTTTAAGGAGGCCAGTAATATGTTGTATTTTAATATTTTCGAAAAGATCATTTAGGATAGTGACAAGAACCATGGGTTTGGGTTTTCGGGTCAGGTGAATGCCATCTTAGCAATTACATGCCTCATATAGGGGCATTTAGGGAAATAAGAACAGATGGTTCTGGAGGGTTCTCGTTTGGCGGTTGACTGATTTTTAGGCAACTTGAATTGATATCGCTTTCTCACTAAGCAAAATTATCAAACAAACAATTGGAAAATTCTACTGTAATCCAAAAGCCCCCGTGAAAGGGCACACAAGCTGACACGTCCTCTCGCCAATTAAACCTTGCCACATCAGCAACTTGACATGTATTGTTCTCATTTGTCCAAGTTCATGTTCAATTTCGTTTGTTTTTTTCATTTTTATTTTCTTTACCATAAAACAAATATCTATAGAAACCAAAAAAAAAAAAAAAAAAAAAAAAAAAAAAAAAAAATGCCTTTTCTAAAAACAAAGTGACGATGTTTGACGTCTCAAAAATTCCGTTAGTTGTTGACATGGCTCTTATGTGGCAAAAAAAATTAGAGGAGTTACGAAGAAGTTACACAATTGATTTTGACAAAGTTATTGACGGACTTAATAATGGGGATCTAAGTTATGATAAAAAAAACTATATGAAGGAAACAAAGTGGATTACAACTTTCGGAGGACAATGTAAGAAACATGTTATGAAACTAGTATAATTAATTCTTGTTTTCTTATGGAACTCTGACCCCATATTCCCCTTATTTAAGAAAAAAAAATTTTCAACATAAAATATTAATATTAAAACTTAAAAATTTAAAAAATGAAAAGATATTTAGTCATATACCTATTCTTAGCACTAATAACATAGATAAACCCTACACCATTTAATTTTTATAAACAAACCAAAAAAAAAAAAACTTAAAAAATGACAGTTTACCCTATTACATTTAATTTTGATTATTAAATTACTTTGATGCTCTATTGAGTGTTTTGGGCATTTTTATGAGGTTTTAGGGTTGGATTTATTTCGAGAAATCAATGGCAATTTTGTAATTTAAAAAAAATTAAAAGCTTTTTTGTTATGTTGTAAATGAGCTTTAGGTGTGTTTCTAAAATCTATTTTATTTATGGTTTTATTTATTTATTTATAATTTGGCTCTTATATTAGGTATAATAGTGAATCTCCCAAAAAAAAGGAAACAAGAGTCTATGTCCAACAATAATTATCTATGAATACGAATAGGGAAAAAAAAAAAAAAAACCTATTTCATGTACATAATTTTCTGATTTTTATATTATAGAATCCAAATGGGTATGTTTTAGAAGGTATAGAAAGAATAAAGTAAAAGTGCACCAGACAACAAGGCTGCAACTATACAACATTTTTAATCAGTGCAAATTAACAAAGACATTAGGAGCGGGAGATTATGGTACAACTTTGTCTAAAAGGCTAAAACCCTAATGAGATTTATTAGCCCTAATGATGTTTTATCCATGTGAAAGAGGAACCTTTTCTTGAGTTCCAAGTTATAACACCTGCCTCTGGAGCCTTTGCTTTCTCAGCACTTCATGGCATGGGGCAAAAAATTCATGTCTAAGGGCTTCCTCTGCACTTACCCTAACCCTAGGGTTCACTGTCAAGCATTTATCCACTAGATCGAAAAGGGGTCTAGGGATTTCCTTAAAGAAGTCTGGTCTCTTTGTGCTCCTTCTACACCAATCCTGTAGTTTAATAGATGGCAAAGACTCTGTACTATAGAGGTCCTGTGACAAAATAATACCTCACAATTCAATCTATGTGCATATTAAAATATCATGGCCAAATTGCACGAATCATTCGTGTGGTGTGGGTCATATGTCAATGTTACTCTTGTGGTGGAAATTTTTCAATAATATTCTTAAGGTTGAGCCCGTTACCAGTCTCAGTCCAATTCAAAATTTCCATCCAATTGTGCGTATTTTACCTCAAATGCTTGGGTAAAAAAGTCCTTTCAAGAAATGGACACCCATTTTTTTACCCTTAAGTCAAGCTTGAAACGACCTTTTTATCCTTACACGCGACAGGCACATCGGTAAAATTAGACGGATATTTCGATTTGGACCTTGGTAACAAGTTTAAGCACAAGGATATTATTCAAAGTTTTCTCATCACATGAGTAACATTGAAGTGGACCTACACAAGGATGATTCGTGCAATTTAGCCAAATATCATTTACTAGATCAAAGTTATGGAATGATCAATACCGCTGGAAATGAAGATTCACGGTCGTGTAGCTTGGCAACTTCCCATAATTCTTCACTGCCCCTCAACTTTGCTATGTCCTTTATGTTCCTGATAATGACCATATGGTTGGCAAGACGAAATGTGAGAATAAAGAATCTGAAGAGTAAACATAAACCTTTTGGATCAAAGCAAGGATATTTACTGTTCAGGATCTCCAAAAAAGGGTGTTCTGCCAATTATTAAGTAGAGTAATGTGACCCCAGCAGACCAGATATCAACCTTGGGGCCTTGATGTGGGGATCTCAAGAGAACCTGCATAGACCACACATCCAAACAAAGGATCATGACCAAATATAAAAATATGAGTCAAGAAACGAAGAACATAATACATGCTATAATGTTAGGAGTGAACTTAAAAGACTAATTTCTGTGCTTGGCTGCAACAATCTTCAGAAAGTTTTAACTTTGAGTTACATGAATAATGATATTTTGCAAGCAACAAACTACATCTCTCTTTAACCCTCAGATTCTCACCATTCATGGCTGTCACACTCACAAGTAATATGTTGGTTACTACTTGGCGAATCAGTATAACTCCGATCATACAGGAATTTGAAACAACTTTATGGAGTGTAAACCAGCACCAAATTGAGATATAGGGACTAAAAGTAAGATAATTATATAAAACTAAAAGTTAACAATAGTTATGAATCCTCACCTCTGGAGCCCGGAAGCCTTTAGTTCCAGCACAAGGACCTTCTTTCTTCTGCTTTCCACCCCCTAAGATAAAAAATAAAAAATAAAAAAAAAGAAAAAAATCTTGGCAAACAGAAGTAAAGAAATTTGCTGGTCAAACCACATTGTCCAAATCACAAGAAGGAACAAACCTCTGTTTCTAATCAAGCCTGCACCACCTATATCATTGCCAGTTGAGTGCAGAGGCATAGGAGTGATATAGAAAAGCTTGCCATCCTCATTTCCAGGAGGGGCGGGAACCCTCTTTCTCATAGGAGCTGAAACACCTGATGCTTCATGATTTGGACTCTGCCTTGCTTCCTGTACTAGGCTGATGAGCTCTTTCCTTCCTTGGCATGGCAAAGGTTCCCTCAGCCTTTCTGCTGGAGGAGTCCTGGCACTTGTCACATCCTTTGCTGACGTTATGCCTGAGCCATCTGCACCTTGACTTTTCATAACACTCCAACTACCTGAATCATTATAGGCCTTCACTTGACTGAAAGCCTTCTTTTTCAAGTCCTTCGGATCAAAAGTGGGTTTGAGACCTTTTTTGGTCTCTCCATTGGCCTTTATTGAAGATTTAACAGTTGACATCCTAACCGTGGTTCGAGGAATAGATTTTGCATTGGTAAGTTTCTCATCAAGGCTGTTTACATCATATCCAACTTTTGATTTGCCTGTGAAATATTGGTTTCTTCATTTCCCAATCTTTTTATTTCATAATAGTAAGACCAAAAAATTCAGACAAAGCCATTTAGCATTTATAGGCAGAAACTATTATTATTGTTGTTTAATTTTTTTTTATTCTCCAAGTATATTGGTCTGCAATGAGAGAGGATTTGAACAAAGAAAGTTTACTGAAAAAAACAAAAAAATTGTACCTAGGCGAGCAATAGATTGAACTAAAATATCATGCAATACTTATTAACACTAATCAGTATCACAACAAAACCGAGGTTCAATAACTAAAATCAGAAAATCCAGTGAGACAGAAGAGATGAAAACTTACCACTTGTTCCATACTTCTGATGCAAATCCTGTCAAGCATAGAAAAAAAAAACCAATCATGGACTAACAAATTGCAATATGTTAAAAAACAGATAAATAAATGAGTGAAACAGTCTAAAAAGAAAATAAAAAACTGGGACAAGTATAACCAACCGTGGCAAGATTGAAATCAATGAGGTAACCCTTGCTGGCCTTACAAGAGAAAAGGAAGTTACCAGGTTTAACATCTCTGTGCACTATGCCCTGTGAATGTTGAAACAAATATTTTAGAACCTTCTATGAAATGCTCTTGAATCCTAATATAATATACATGGCACATAGGCCTACCTGTTTATGAAGGCTTGCCAGCGCTTTAAACAAGCAATAGCCATACCATTGGAGATGAAAAACATCTATCTCTTTCTTTAAAACCTAAAGGTAAAATCAACATTAAATAAAAGGCTCAAAAGGAAGAGAAGAAAAAAGGAAGCTAGAGAAATGTCCAATAATCACCTCAGGCCTATCATGCTCAACGTGCTGCAATACAAAGCAATTTGAATTTCCATTCGTGATACAGCCTTCATATTTTATCACGAAGTTTTTGCCCCTAAATTACAAAATTCACGGGGATGTAAAATTTCACCACTTCGTGTCTCTAAAGCACAAAATTTCTTTAAGTGAAACTTAAAACACTTACCCAAACCTTTCCAGCATCCTTAACTCATTGTTAACATGATGCTTATGAGCATTAGCATGCGGGCCTGCAGAGCCGTTAAAGCAATATGAGATCAGGAACTTCATTTTGGGTTCAACTCAAAGGGGTTCGAGTAACACAATTCATAATTTACAGAGTTGCATTCTACCTAAAAATATAAGGAAACTAGTCTACGCATGTTTATATTGACAGGACAGTTTAAGCCCAAATGGTTCCCAACTTATGCCAACTAAAATATTAAGCAAAAAATTATCAATAATAAACCTAGACCTTAGGTACATTCTATCCATGACAACAAAGTTTTAGATTTTAGTTTTCGTTCATTAACTTTTTATAGGTAGAAGGTAGCACATATTTACATTGCACAGGTAAGTAGATTTGGTCATCAGAAGAGGCAACAGTCTGACCCTGACATAAAATTCTTTTATAGGACAGCTGACAAATAAAAATTATGTGTTACTTACATTTAATAGCAACCTTTGTCCCGTCATTCTTGCTTTGTGCCCTGTAAACAGTGCCATAACCTCCTACCAGTTTGGGAAACAAACAAAATCCATAATGACAAACAGGTTGATGGGGATGTGAAAAATCCAATATATAATCAAAGCTTTACATACCTGAACCTTCTTCTTCGTCTACAATGTAAGATTCAAAAATAGGAAGTTCTTTTTTCGCTGGTTGATCCTACAAAGCGTCACATGCTTAATAAATATAAGATTGTCAATTAAAGCATACTTGCACACATTGAAACTTAGAGTAGGCATTAATTATTCGTATGTGTAGCATACCTTAGGAGAAATAGAGTTATGGCGTCTCTTTCTTTCATTGATATGCTTGTCATCATAATTCTGCTTTGATTTCTGTGCCATGCTGATTGGCTTTTGATATATTTTCTGGTGCTGGTTCTCTTTCGGAGTGGCAACAGTCTGATCATGCTCTAAGTAGTGTGATTGCAGTCTTGGAGCCATCTTATCCTTGTGAATGGCCTTGATTTTGGCAGAGGGCTTCAACAATTGCTTTCGAGCAGCAGAGAATTCAGTAGCTGGACATATGGTAGAGCTCTCATGTCTTGTTGTTTGATTTTTATTCGAAGGCATCGTATCTTTACAATTTGCATTTTTCAGTCTGGAGTCACTTTCAGGCAGCATATCAGAAAGAGCAGTACATGGCTGAAATAAATTTCCTATTTCTCCATTACGGCTGGAAGGATCTACTAACAACTGTTCGTCCTCACCTCCCACAATTCTTTCATCTTCAACAATTCTAAGATTTGTAACTTTACATCTGCCAATAATATTCACATCCACCTCTGCTGATATATTGCTTTGTTCAACTTTCTCTAGGAAATTTGTTCCCGTGCAGTCTAACTCATGTAAGTTAGCTCCTTTGTAAAGGACCAAAGCATCGGACATGCTAATGGGATTAGCTGGTTCTGCATCAGCTTGACATGCCATTATTGTTTTGTTAACATTCGTTTGCACAATTATATTCGGCCTCATTTCATCTAACATGTTTATGTTTCTGCTGATGTAGTCAGTCATGCGGCAATGTATCTGCAAAACTGACTTGATTTAAAAGCTGTCCAGAAAAGTGATTTGTTTGGTTGCACTTCACTTATACAACACAAAAATGCTTTTGAAATGAAATAGAGAAACCTCGAGGGGGTAGTATTCAAAGAAAAGGGAATATATGAAAAATGCCAAGTGTACATTTCTAAGTCTCAGAAAACAAATAGGTATCTTAGGATGTCAAATTCCATGATCAATTTATTTTACAAACTAAATAAATGAGATAAAGGGGACCCCCAAAATTAACAGAGATCAAATTTGCTTTAAAACCTAACATTAAGTCCAACATTTCTGGTTTGAACACTAATATTGAAGAATAAAACATCAGAAAAAGCAACCAAATTTATAGAACAACAAACTCTATACAACTTTAATTCAATCATACCTTGGGAGCACTATATCCAACTGATTTCGGCGCTCCAATTTCTTCATTCACTGCAATTCATCACCACAATCACCAACCAAACAAATTTTATCCCCCAAATAAAAACAGAACCATAAAAAAAAAATTCTTTTTGAAGCAAACATTACAATTTCCAAAATCCACAATCAATCTCCGCTTGGCCAGAGGCCCGAATCCGCAATCCACAACGAACCGCTTTCGCTTCCCCAAGTAGCTTCTCAGTGCATCACCAGCACCGCCACACGAAACGGACTCGACGAAAGCTTCAAAGGAAGCCAGAGACGGCGTGACGCAGAGAGATTCCGATAAGGCGAGAGGCGAGCCGGGAACGGAGCAGAGGTATTGGACCAGGCGAGGCGACGCCGGGAACAGCGTGCATCGGGAGGCGAGCTCGGAGAGGTGAGTTGGGCGGCCTAGTGATAAGAGGAGGGCCAGGAGGTGCCAGGCCTTCTCTGAGTCGGAGATGGCTGTGGCAACGAGAGCTGAGTCGGTGGGGCGAGTCGCCATTTCCATGTCTGATGAGATTTGGATCGGAGAGAGAGAGAGATAGAAGAGAGGGAAAAGAGAAGCGCCAATTTCGCACGTGTAGGGTTTGAGATTCACCTGACGAGTTCCCGCCAAATGTTTCCCCTCTCTTTTTTTCTTAAAAAAGAATTTGAAAGCATAAAATATGTGGATGAGGTTTGGGCCTGTCAAGTTCAAATGAGTTCAGCGGCCCAGGTCCAGATTCAAATGGTGAGATCTAATATATGGCCCTTTGTTGAGACCTTATTTCTAAACTATTGGATCAAACTGGTTAATCGTTGGATCAAATTAGTTAGCTTAATCCAATGATTAAGAGATAGGATCTCATCAAGGACCATATATAAGGCCCTCACTATAAAATTCATGTTGCTTTGATTTGAGCCTTCAAAAGGTAAGTACAACGCATTAGCCGCTCCTGTACACATCATCAAACTCAGGCATAAAAAGATGAGCATGTTGTCTTGGTCAATTGGCTTAATCCACATCTACTTATTTAGTATAACTTTGTAGTAGTTCATGTTGTTAATCACTATAATTATTCATCGTGTACAATGATAGTTTGAAATTTCAATCATATCTCGACATTTATGTTTTTATCGTGTACGGATATTAGATGCAATATTTTTCCAAAAATCTCATTTGGTACGTTGTACTTACACGTCGTTTATAAATTTTTTCAATGTCGATAAATTGTTGATATTGTCATTAATATTTTTCTGATATTTTCTTGTAATACATTGTACATAAATTTCTTTGGAATTCGATATCAACATTTTGTTGATATTTTTGTATTTTCATACCGCAATATATTTCTTTAGAAAAATGCTAGGAAAATCAAATTTATAGACGAGACCAACTGGCATACGCCACCAATCTAATAGCATTTACTCTTCCGTTTAACATTGATATTTAATTGCGAGAGAAGTTGGTGGAAAGTTTCCTTCCAAAAGTCTATGGTACTGAATTGACCTCTCTTGTAGAGGTATATAACAAAGCTCCATATATAAGATAAGAAAAAGACATATACACAAGCATGCTTTATTCTCCAAATACCATTAATGACCAACTTAAATCCTCTTAACTCAGTCTGAATTTCTAGCAACGGAGTGTTAGTTGAATTGACCCACGTTTTTGGTGTGCTCTCAAATAATCTTGAGTTCAAAACCCAATGGTACCCTTGTGTGTGAATTTTCCCATTCCCCTTCCTAACTTCAGCGAAAAAACCTGAACATGAATTTTCGTTGAATTTTTGCTTGAATTACTTCCTTCAAGCCTTCACAGTTATTAGCCCCCACTATTTCCACGCCCAACTTCGAATTACCCTCATAAATTTGAGGGCATTGTAAAAGTAGAAAGGAATAGGCCATTCGCGCGGGTGCACGATGCTTTATCAGCCAGTGAGATGTGTGTGGCCTATGCGGGTCGCACTGACTCTCACACTAGAAAGCTTCATGCACCCTCGCGAAACTGATGCTAGATAGGACCCCTCAAAGTAGACGAGGTGCTTTCAAGCTGCAAACGAATTTGCCAGACGTGAAGCAGCTCCCCAGAAATGTCAGAAATGTTGCACCATTTAAAATTTGAATATAATAGAATTCGTAGGCACAGTAAGGATAGAACAAGATGGTGAAATAGAAACATATTCAATAAATCAACTAATCACGATGCAAATTTGCAACAATCATCATCAATATACAAAAAAAGGAAGTTAAGTAAACTTTCCATCAAACAGAAGATAAAGAAATTATACAATGAATTTGTCAAGAAAATATTTCCTGATGTCCTGAATAAACGTCAATTCATTCTGTAGATGGTGAAGATAATGAAAGGTTCAAGAGGAAGCCAACCATGAGTCCAATGAGTCCCACAAAAATTGCAAAGGTGAAGGAGAAGCCTGGGTCCCCTTTCCGAAATCTTCGCCTCTTCAGTATATCCTGTGGTGAAAAAAACAAAAAAACAAAAAAACAAAAAAACAAAAAAACAAAAAAACAAAAAAACAAAAAAAACAAAAACAGAGAATGTCAGTTGGTGAGAGCTGTAAGTATGCATCCACAATGGAGGCTCTAAATGCCCTGTTGAAAATAGGAAAAAAGAGAGCAGTCGAACTCCCAATACAGAGGAGAGTATGTTATTTCAGATACCAAGCCCTTAACTTCTAGTAATGTTGTAATGTTGTACTGTTCTGTAATTTAATTAGCCACAAAAAACTCCCATTCAATTTTTTCCAGAAACTCCTGAGGTCACCTAATAAAAGTCCTTTTCTTCCTGCTTTATATGGTTGTGACAAATTTTTCTGAATGTTGGATTACATATGTGTATAGCTAATTGTGGATCCTTACATCCAAGATTATAACATTTCCATGGTAAGGATTAAAGCACTAACTTTAAATATCAGAAAAAGAGCAAACGATCTAGGATAAGCTACTTAAGTTAACTACTTGAGTCTTTTTGTATGTGTGTGTGTAGAGAAAGCAGAAGAACAACCATACACTGACCAGTTCCTGTTGAAGTTGCTGTGTTTGTCTAACAGCTGCATCTCTTTCATCCTTCAGGCGCTGGAAAGCCTGATTCTACATGTAAAAGAAATATCAAAGAGTAAGAACATGACAAGAATTCAAATATACAATGAATTACTGTAATGAGCCTACCAAGACATGTTATAATGGACTTTTACAAGTTTTCAGTATGCATGAAAGAAGGAAAACTAAACAAATGGAAACACACCGCTGGGTTCTGGCAATTGGAGTCTCTTCCTAGAATCCTTTTGTTATCTTATTATGATTCTAAATACACGTTCAAATCGTACACATGATTTCTATCTAAATCACTCGCTATATTCATAGACCACTATTAATCAAAGTCCCAAACTGGTGTTTCTAATTACGCATTCTATTGCTGAATGTAACACACAATAGATTCTTGGATCAAGTTTGTGAAGTAGTGGAATGAACAACTACCCTCAGAAAACCAGAACTATAACATGCACAAGCATGATTGCATTGTTACACAAAAAGACAAACACGTTCTAGAAAACACCACAAGGAAAGTAAAACAACACTCACAGAATTAGTATCAAGACCGCGCATGGAGCTCCTTAAAGCTTCATCTTCTGAGTTTCCTTGAGCTAAACCAGGAGTCATATACACAACTCTAAGCTTGCACTCCTCTAATGCCCTTCCACTTTCCTTGGTGAACTGGATGAAACATTAAAGTGCTTTTCCAATGTCATTGTTATTTCAAAATGATAAATTAAGCAAGTCAAACAGAGAGAATAGTGCCCAATTTAAAACTCTTACAGTATCTTGCGGGAGGTCATCAACATCAGTATTTGGAGGCACTGTTGTACTCTGTAGGAGAAATTTATCTTTGCACTGCATATCTGGAGGATATTCTCGTTGGGCTTGAAGGGTGACTGCAGACCCAGCAGTTAGTTGGAAGCCATTATTACAAAAGCTTTTAAAGAAATAATGGAGAATATAATAAAACTAATAGAGAATGTACAAACAATTACATTCTTATGATTGGCCAAAGCCAGAGAGTACAGCTCTTAGATTCAAAACTTGCCATTTGAAAATAAATATATTGCCTAAGAATCCACAAATCACCACTAGCTAATTTGCTCATTAAAAAGTAAGATAAAGCACCGGGAGATAGGGCGGCTCAAAAGTTTCGTACAATTGAGGTGGTGATAATAAAATTAGAACAATAAAAATGAAAATTTGTAATAACGTAATGAGTAGCACCTCTGATGACACATGAGTCCCAAGCCTGTATAACACCAGTGTTGGGTCGTACAAAGTACTTCTTAGGTGAAGTGGTTTTAACCTAGAAAAAAGAGAATAAAAAAGAAAATGAAAATTGTAACACGAACATGCACTAGCAATTTCCAGATTGGACAAAAGAAAAATACACGCTCAGCAACAAAAATCATAAATACATTCACCAACAGAATTGGTACCTTAAAAGCAACATGGTGTTCTGTGTTGTTGACAACTTTTAGATCACAAAAGCTTTGCTTCTCCAGCTCAACTGAACAATGAATGTCATAATTATAAGTCCATTAGTACTTTGTCTAACGATATTATACATGGAAAGAAGAAACTTTTAAGCCAGACTTTGAAAAGAACCTGACTGGATGTGGCACTACAATCAAAATCATGTGATGACCCAATGTGTTTATCAGATTACACCCTATTAGTCAGAATTCTTTGAATTTTAACCATTCCAAAGACCAACCAGAGATGTGTTGGCACCAATTATCATATGCATTTGGTGTAGGTATAAGCATGTCTTTTCTCTACATATACATGCACACGCAAAAGATAAGTTTGAAAACTCGGGTCAAGCAAATGGGTTCATGTTGTCCAATGCTAGCACTAGTAATTCAAGTTGTTTATAGTGTATTCATCACAATGTGTATTTACACTTGTTTTTAACAATTCCCTACTCAGCTATTCTTACATGGTTTCCAAATTTAACAAGAACTCTTAGTGATATAATCACTAGTTGCCATTACATATATTACCTATTCTGAATAACTACACCATAGCCCAGAGACCTAAAGGACTACAACTGCTAAGGCGACCATGGAGTCCAGAGACTTGTGGGAGTAATCCCACTCTTTATACATAGTAACCTTCAAAAGCTTTCTATAAGCAAGAGAAACAAATACCCAATAAACCAAGATTCCCACCAAAATCTAGGTTGTATCGTGGAGGTGATATAAAGCCATTCAGCAATTATTAATAAAATTTCACTTAGCTTAAAGAGCGTGGATGTGAATTAAGAAAAGGTTACCAAGTGGAGCTCAAAAACCTAAACGATACAAATCCAGAGGCCCCGGAGTACCCAACAAGAGAAGCAAAATAAAATTAAATACAAAAGAACGAGTGTCTGATTTGAAGTCATAAACACATCTATATTATAGCAGTTAAACTAATCCTCCCTCAACTTTGAACTTAATACACGTTTGACTTCAATAT